AATTATATTTTCACTTTTTTTTTCTTTTTTTTGTTTTGTTTTGTTTTTGTGTGTGTGTGTGTTTTTTTGTTTTGAGTTGGAGTCTCACTCTGTCACCCAAACTGGAGTGCTGTGGCCGCTCTCGGTCACCACAGCCTCGACCTGCTGGGCTCTGGCGATCCTTCCGCCTCAGCCTTCCAAGTAGCTGGAACTACAGGCGGACGCTACCACACCCGGCTAATTTTTTGATTTATTGTAGAGATGAGATCTCGCGAAGTTGCGCAGGTGGGTCTCGAACCCGCAGGCTCAGGCAATCCACTCACCTCAGCCTACCAAAGGCACGGGATTACAGGCTGAACCATCGAGCCTGGCACATATTTTCACTTTTAGATAAAAGGAAATGTCTTGGAGCTATTGCAGTTATCAGTAGAAATAGCTTCCTTTCTGCCTTTTGACTGTGGAGATAAAAATATGATTCATATTGTGGCTGAGCTCGGTGGCTCAGCCTGTAACCCCGCTCTTTTGGGAGGCTGAGGTGAGTGGATTGCTTGAGCCCACAGGTTCGAGACGTGCCTGGGCAACATGGTGAGACCTCATCTCTACAATAAATAAAAAATTAGCCAGGCGTGTTAGCACACGCCTGTTGTTCCAGCTACTTGGAAGGCTCGCCGGAGCCCAGCAGGTCGAGGCTGCGGTGGCCTGGAGTGGCCACTGCACTCCAGTCTGGGTGACAGAGTGAGACTCCAACTCAAAAAAAAAAAAAGATTCATATTGTGAAGGGGAAAGGGAAGATTCTGTCGTAAATATTTCTTCAGTGCATTTTCTACCCCTAAAATTATGTTGCAGCCTTGAAGATTTTTCTCCATCAGTGCTTCTCATGTGTAGAAGGCAGTTGAAGTCAGTGTGCAATTACCTTTTGTGGGGAGATTAATGACTCTGGCCTTTCTTTATTCTTTCCAATCCCCATTTCTGTGTCACCTGCCTGTCAGCACTCAGATTCTTAATAGGTGCCATTAAGCTAATATCTAAAGGCGAATTGAAAAGCAGTATCACTAACAGATAACAGGACATAAACTGTTGGAAAACTCCAGAAATTTCCACTTTTAATTCTCTGTAAGTCTCTTTTCAGGTTCTTGTTTGTTTTGTTGTTTACCTCTCAGGTAAACTGAGCCCCAGGAGCCATGGTGGCCCTTCTTAGCATTTCAGAGACTGAGAATTGGCCTAACTTTGTTGTTGTAGTTGTTGTTATTAAGGCATCTTATGACTTTAGCTTTTTTATATTCCTATTCCTTATTTTCCCTGTTGGCACCAATCTCCTGACAATCCCTGCTCTTATAAGTATATGAGAAAGATGAGAAAATGAGTCCTTTTCTGATTTTTATCTTCTCCTGGCGAGTGATAAATGAAGCTGTGTTTGTTCCAAGGGATAGCAGAATACGAAGTCCTGTAAAGTCACCTAGGTTATTAGATGAATACCACAGAGCTGCTTATTATGCACTGTAGTTTAATGTAGATTATAGATGTGACCAAACAGTAAAGAGCAGAGCTGGAGCTGTAATTAAACTGTATTGTACTGCTCTGTGATCGCTCCTTAGATTTATCTTGCAAAGTAGAAAGAAACCGAATTGTTCCACACCCACAGGTGGATTTCTCCACTTCTCCCCACCTCCAAGCATCTCTTTTTATCAACTAAATAATTAAATAAAGTCACCTTCATACAAGCAGAGATCCTGAATTCTGCCTAGTAACTCTGATCCGTAAAGGTAGTTTGGTGCATACATTTTTTTTTTTTTGAGTTGGAGTCTCGCTCTGTCACCCAGACTGGAGTGCAGTGGCCGCTCCCCGCCACTGCAACCTCGACCTGCTGGGCTCCAGCAATCCTTCCGCTTCAGCCTTCCGAGTAGCCGGAATTACAGGTGCACGCTACCATGCCCAGCTGATTTTTTGATTTATTGTAGAGATGAGGTCTCGCTGCCCAGGCGGGTCTCGAACCCGTGGGCTCAGGCAATCCACTCACCTTAGCCTCCAAGGCATGGGATTACAGGCTGAGCCACCAAGCCCCGCAGGTGCATACATATTAATCAGCTTCTTAAGTATATGAGTCAATTCTGTTATTGTTAGTGATCAGTTCAGTCAAGTTTCTTCAGATGTTCTGTCACAGAGTTTAAATCTGGCAAACTGCTTGAATGCAACAAGCGTGTTTCGTATTTATATCTTAGGTACTGTTTTTTTGCATCTTAGATATTGTTTTCTGGATTTCTCAGCACAGAATCAAGGGCTTGATTTTATCTAGAACGTAACAGCATATCTTCCTCCTGACCTCCTAGGAGCACTGAATAACCTAGCAGGAAATGAAACCACTTCCAGAAAAGAGCTGTCCTTAATGGCTGAGAGAGCGTGTGGGTGTCTTCCTGGGTCTTACCTTCTTCTGTGCCCCTGGGATCGCTGCCTCAGCTGTGGAACAGGTTGGCCATAGGACCTGTGCAACATGGCAATCAGAAAGTTCATAGGAATTACCTAGAAGATTGAGGCCAATGTCTGTGTCCAAGAAAAAGGACAGTGCAAGAACTTATCTTGCTTATAGAAAAGAGATCAAGCCCTAAACAAAAGAAATTCACATACTGATTGTAAAATTGCTTCTGTCTCAGTTCTTCCCCAAGAGAAAGAACAGAGAAACAGGTGAAGCCAAGGGTGAGGCCAAGAATGCAGATGATCCCCTTTTTCGTGACTCTCAAGGGTTTCTTACAGCATTTCTGGAAGAACTTAAGGATTAGATCCAGATTCTAGCACTACAGAGGGACAGGAGAGAGACTCCAGTTTATTTTTCCTATGTTGTTTTTAACCTTCAAATCTATACATATAACTTTTTTTTGAGTTGGCTTCTCTGTCACCCAGGTTGGACTGCAGTGGCACACTTGCAGCCACCTTCTAGGCTCCGGCAGTCCTCTCACCTCTGTCTCCCAAAGTGCTAGCGTTACAGGTGTAAGCCACCATGCCCACCCTATACACAGAAATTTTGAAGGGTCTTTCTAAGATCTACCACATCCAAAGAAGTTTGGCAAATTAAATTACAAATGCCTGAATTTCAAGAGAGCAAAAATGCCTTTTTCCATTTATCATAATTGTAGAAATTTCATTTTATAGGCTTCTACTTGCATTTCATTTTATAAAAAGGGTGGAGTTAGGGAATACGTGGAGGTGTGTATGTGTATGTGTGTGTGAGACAATAAGCAGATAAGGATACTTTTTTTGGCAGCTCTTCAGGGATCAGAATTAATCAGAATCGTTGTATGAACATTCTGTGGACTCTGAGGGCGATGATCTCCAAATAGTGATGACCTCCTAAGCCAAAAACATCAGAGCCAACTGTGGAGAAACTGATGCAGTGCCCACATGCCAGGCTAGTTTTCAAGGCCAGGAAGGTGTATGTGGGTGTGTCGGGGAGAGGAAGATGGATTATAGGTGGAATGGTGGTCATGCATCAATTATCCCAGAACCAGAGTGATGTTGCAGAGCTGTTTGGAAGGTTAGATTATGGTTGCGTGTGTGGTTTTCTCTGAATGACTCTATTCAAGGACTACATTTAGCCTGTACTGCAAAGTCTTTTACAAGGGGAAGAGGATTCCAGTCCTTGACTCTCATTTTCTAGGTCTGCTGATTGATATCATACTTAATCTTCAGAGGAAACCAGCCAGTGTGTATACTGGGTGCCTCTGCATATGCAAGACATCATGCTCATTTAGGATTTGAGCACTATAAACTCAGAGTTGATACTTTGTCAGCCTGATAAATGCTAGGATTTAAAGAGTTAAAGGATCATTGCCCGCTTCATTACAACTTTTATGTTGTCTCTAGATACGTTGCATTCTTTTTGGAACCTAAGTAATTATGCTCTTGTGAGAGGTTCTGGTTTTGGAGGCAGATGGCTGGCATTTGACTATTTCTATTTGTATTATGTGTGTAATCAGCTACATCTACAGACTGCTGTAAGATTGGCTTCTGGATGGCAACAGTACCTCCTGTTTCTTTGTGTTTTTTGTTTGTTTTTTTTTGAGTTGGAGTGTCACTCTGTTGCCTAGGCTGGAGTGCAGTGGCACACTCACAGCCACCCCAGCATCGACCTGCTGGGTTCTGGCAATCCTTCCACCTCAGCCTTCCAAGTAACCAGAACTACAGGCACACACTACCATACCTGGCTAATTTTTGATGTAGAGATGAGGTCTCACCAAGTTGCCTGGACTGGTCTCGAATGTGCGGGTTCATGCAATCCACTTGCTTTGGCCTCTCAAAGTGCTGGGATTATAGGCTGAGCCACCGAGCCCAGCCCTCCTGTTTCTTACAGATAAATTTAATGTTAATATCATACTCCAAGATGCCATTCTCATTGACCAACCACTGTTATGGTCTCTGAAGGTTAAAATTCTCCACCAGGTTGCTCTCAGCCCTCCTATAACTTTTAAGTAGATTTCCTTCTAACTAAAGGTATTTTAAAATACCTAAGGTCCTTAGAAACTATGGTATTCCTAGGATCTGGGTACTTCTTTCTCTCTTTATCCCCACTAAATGCACTGTTTGTTGAATGCTAGATGTGGTAGGAAGCACAGTGGTGACAGTAGAACATGCCTCAGAAGCTGGACCTTTTTTTCTCATCAGTCTGTGTGCTCTGTTGCTGTTGAAATCAGACTCTGATTCTCTTTCACTAAATATTCTTTATGAAATTAGAAAAAAATATGATTCTTTTTCTTTCACTTGTAGCCAAGCACAGTTTATGAGGAAGAACATTAATAAGAAATAGAGCTTCACCTAGCACAGGAAGATCTCATCTAAACCACTACATTTGTAGTGGTATCATGAGCTAGAAGGAAGAGCCACAGTCTTATATTTAGGAAAAACCATAGTCTTATATTTAGAGCCCTCTCTACTCTGGCAGGAAAGTATATAAGACTAGATTGAATACAGAAAAGGTATTTCCTCCAAATGTTCTCCCCATAACTCAGCCACTTTTTTCTCTTCCCCCACAGATGGAGTCCCCCGTCTCCACACCAGCAGTGCTGCCACTGCACCTTTTGGTGCCAGTGGTCAATAATGACATCTCATCCCCCTGTGAGCAGATCATGGTTCGCACCCGTTCAGTCGGAGTCAACACATGTGACGTGTCTCTAGCCACAGAGCCTGAGTGCTTGGGCCCCTGTGAACCTGGAACCAGTGTCAACCTTGAAGGTATCGTGTGGCAGGAAACGGAAGATGGTAAGTATGATAGGTAGTTTTCCTAGCCCTTCTCAACCTGCTTCTGCAGGGAGCCATAGGGGCCTATTGTTGTAAATATTGCCAAGTATTACTAGGAGTCTCAGATGTCCACAGTCTGCTGGTGACACCCACTCAGAGGATCTTAGCAAACTTATTATTATTTTTTTGAACCAGAGTCTCACTCTGTTGCCCAGGTTGAAGTGCAGTGGCACGCTCATAGCCACCACAGCCTCCACCTGTTAGGTTCAGGCTATCGTTCCACCTCAGCCTTCCAAATAGCTGGAACCACAGGCACATACCACACACCTGGCTAATTTTTGGATTTGTTGTAGAGATGAGGTCTCGCCAAGTTGCCCTGGCTGGTCTTGAACTGATGGCCTCCAGGCAGTCCTCTCACCTTGGCCTCCCAAAGTGCTGGGATTATAGGTGTGAACCACCATACCTGGTCAGCAAATTTCTTAGCTAAATGTCTCAGCTTCTAGAGATTGCCAGTGCTAGTTTTTAAAATTAATTATCTCCCTTTTGTAGCTATTCAACAGTGTTGGCCCTGGTACATAAGCAGTCATTTGATAGATGCTGGCCAGGTGATTCCAACTGTATCTGTATTCTCCATATTCCTTCTTTCATTTTATATGGAGATTTAGATTATAAATGAACTTTTGAGCCGGCTTGAAGAGAATAAGTAATAAAAGGGAATCAAGGGATGGAGAACAGTTACTTTTCAACTGACTTAGTGTTGGCTCATTGAATATGCAGCTCTAGCCTTTTTTTTTTGAGTTGGAGTCTCACTCTGTTGCCCAGACTGGAGTGCAGTAGCCGCTCC